CTAGACACAATCCTTCGCAAAACTAGTGGGCTAGCCAGAGCAGAGACAGCAGGGGGAAGAAGCCAGAGGAAGGCATATCATCTAAGAGGAAAGGCAGGCAGTGCTGGGGATTTATTTTTGTCTTTGCTCCTTGTTCCAAGCTGATAGTTATCTTTGCTTTCCAGGTTCCAAGTTGGGTAGGGAAGGGCAGTCTGCGGGAAGCATATTCAGGGTGGGTTAAAATTGCCTACTAATTTCAAATGCTGTATAATTTGGTCTTTTAGACCCAGTCTTCTCCCCAGCCCCGACAAAGTAAAATGAGCAATTAGTAGCGTATTTCTAAATGCCATGCTAAATTCAGAGCTTAAGCAAAAAAATTAAAGCAAAATTTAAACCTCTTTGTTTTGGAGTTAATGACCCTATTGCAAGAATTTATAGCACTATTCAAGCCATTAAAGCTACCAGTTCAAGCCATTCAGTAGGTCACACTGTGCTTTTTGGAAGGCATATATTTAGAACTTGTTTGGCTTGCTTGCTCTGTCTTGAAAAGTGATGTGTGACTGTGTTCCATTCAGTGTACAAAATACATAGTATACAGATTTTTAAAAAAAATTTTTCAACAGCCTTAAGATAACTTCTAAAAATTGTACATGCAAAATTACTATTGGATATAGCCTCTGGAATTGCTCAGTCTGAAAGTAAGCAAATGACTTTTGAATATCAGTCTCATGACAAATGTGGAGTTAATATGGATTCCACAGTCTCATACTATGACAATGTTAACCTTACTCCTCATTTTCCAGGGGCAATCACTCCTTGGGCATCACCAGTCCTTGGAGCCTCAAACATATCAATTGCAAGGGCACCACATGCCATCAAATGTGGACATTATTTGCTATTGAAAATCTTGCTATTCCTGATTTTACCCCAATTACTACATTTCTCACATCTATTTGTGTGTGTAAAATATTGTGTGAGTATGCAGTTCTTATTAGGCTTTTAGAATTTTATATATTTTGCCAAGATAGAACTTTGCCTTTTCTTTTCTTCTTTAAATATAATATCTTTTGGGTGGCCAATGCTGCCTTGAACACTAAAATTTTCCTGCTTCAGCATCTCAAATGTTGGCATTATAGGTATATAACATCACACATAGATAGCATATACCATTTTGAACCCACAAAATCCTTTGTTTAAAATGTTGGTTCACAGCAGTCCGAAACACACAAAGCCCTGTTATTGATGGTCTCTACAGAATAGTTCCATAGAAGTGCTGTGTGAGGTTTCTAGTTAAATCCTTTATTTATTGTTAATCCTTTCCTAAATGTTAGTCTGCATGTGTTTGTCAGATAGAAATTCTGTAAGAGTGAAAACCATGTCTTACCTAGCTCTATATTCTTTCATACTAATGCAAAGTTTGGGAATGCTGCATATGCCTGTAATCTTAGTGCTTGGGAAGCTGAAGCAGAGATATCAAGGTTCAGGCTAGCCTGGAAAATATGGGGAGACCTCACAAAACAAAAGCAGAAGTTAAGAAGGTAGCTGAATGCCTATAACTCCATCACTTGGCAGGGAGAGGTGAGAGAACACTTTCAAGTCCAAGGACACTCTGACCCACACTGAAAGTTCCAGCCTAGCCTGGGCAACACAGAGAGGCCACATCTGAGAAAGCCAAACCAACCAGCTAAACAAACCAACAAAACAAACCATAAAACCAAGAAACAAGCACAGTTATAACTTAACTATGTCAACTAGGTACTAGTTTGTGAAAGAACTGTTAGTTGTCTTTTTTTAAATCAATAGCTGGCTGCATTAAACCCTGAGTGAACTTCCCAGAAACACTCTTTTTGGAAGAGTTTTTCACCTGTAGGATAGCCCACCTCCACCAACTGTGTGCTCTTAGAAATGTTCAGTCCCTATAAACCTATACAAATTGGGTGTTCACACTGCACTGGAATAGACATCCTTGGAAAAGTCACCAGAGAGAACAGTGCTACTTCTCATAAAGCTTACTTGACTATGAAGATGCAGCTTTTGGAAACTGGTCCACTGTGTTGTCATTTTCCTCTCAATATTCTAACTACAGATCTCAATAACCCTGAAGTTATAGGTAGGTACTCTAGGTATGAATTAGACCCATGAAGATAACTGACTGATACACACTCAAGAATAAATGAGGATGTTTTAGTTGATGCACTTAGTTCCTAACATTCAAGAGGTTAGCAATCAGAACCAACTGCTCCCCTACAGAAAACACCTTCAATGAGCATCCAACTCCTATGTGCCCTTTGCTACTATCAGAAAGGGCTGAGATGTGTCTGAGAGACAGTTTTCATTTTCTGCTATGAAAGTTGCTGCCCAGCTCTAGAGGTGAAACCCAAGTAATCAATGACTCTTAGAATTCCACTCTTCAACAGCATACTGCCATAGTTTAATGTTCAGTCTGTATTTATGTAGAAGTTACCATCAACCTAACAGAACATGTTCAAACGGAAAAGCAAATAGGCTTAAAAGCTAATATGCCAAGACTTAAATTCTGACCTTCTATAGACATCACTGAAATGGGAGAAAAATCCTATAATTAGCAATGAGGAACAGCATAACCATGCAAACTTAGCATGAATTTCATCAGGCAAACAGGAAATATCTGTTACACAGTATGTCCGCATTTAAAAAGGTAGTTAACAATGCTTCAGTTACAGTTCAAATGTGGCACTATCATGGCCGTTAAGGTTCATTTTCAATTACATTTGATATAAAGACAACCTCTCTCACTAAAAAAACAACATCTTTGTGGGAATTCTAAATTTAAGCCTTCCAATTTAAAACCCTAAACATTTTCCACACAGGAAGACGCTGTAAGCATACTTCTGAAGGGTTTTAAAAGCAATCAACACAGACAATGTGAACTTATCGTGGCTCTAAAGAAAAACAGAGCAGTACTGTATAGAAGACCCTCACAGTTATTGCTCTGCATATTCCCTGTGGGCTGTGTCAACCCACGCTCTCCCCTGTAATGAGTCTTTGTTTTTACTAAGTCCCAAAGGGCTGGGGCGAGCTCTGCAAAGGGAAGGGGGAAGGGCAGATGGAATGCAGCTGCAGGCTCTAAAACAATGCTGAGTCCATAATTTTGTTCCCAGGAGAATAATAATAGGGGCAGGGTGTTGATGAGATAGACAGAGAGCAAGTAAGGTAGAGCCAAGCATCCCATACTTTGTGTACAGTGTATCCAAGCCTCCTTCACTATACAAAGACAATCTCAATTTACTTAGCCTGAAAGCTTACCTGGCATTTTATAACTAAATTACCTGTGGTGGCAGACTATATTTGGGCAAGGTAAGCAAAGGTAAGCAGTGGCGAGAGGGCAGGATGCATGGGCTCAAGGACAGCTGTGCAGAGAGTTAAGGTATTTGGGAAACAAGGTCCAATGTCTCAACTGTAGGCTGCTTGCTTTGTGGTACCCAGGACCCAGAGCAAGGAGTACACTGCACAACCCATGCCTCTACAAAGATTGCACATCGGAATTGGAATCAGAGTTTGGTCACCTGAGTATTTACTCCCTGTCATTTGGAGTGTAATGTGATGCCTCCTAATGTCCTTTATTTGGATTTTCTTAGCCTGAGAACTCAGCCAACTTAAAGAGAGAATTAGGAGAAGTGGCAGTGCCAGAGAGCAGTGGCTCCGCCAACTCTGAGAAGCGCAGTGCAGACCTCACCTTTTCCTGCCTGTGTTGCTCTCCCCCTTTGCCGAGAAGCCAGAGCTCTCCAAGGCTCTAGGACTCAGGCCTGCCACTGCAGCCTTCCTTCAAATATTACTGATGCATTAAAATCTGCAGGAAACTCCAGAAGCCATAAAACAAACAAGTGACCTAACTAATCCCGAAAGTATAGAATCCGTACACAGTAAGTGATCAGCACCTAGAAGGTTATACACCAAAGTTCGGAAGAATGCTTGCTTCGTTTAGGGTCCCATCCATGCACACTTAGTTACTAAGGGGAAGAAAACGTTTCATTGTAAAGCTGTCATGTAGAAGCAGAGCTGACATCCACACAAACATCTCCTTCAAGTTAGCATTACACAAAAGATCCAGAAATACAGGACTCTTTGTCCACTGAAGGGTATAATTAATCTGGTTCTAAAGATTTTCAAATTCTAAGGTTTGGAAAGACTGCATTTATTCACATAGGCACATTTTCATATCTCTGATGTTACAAAAAGTAACGTTTGTAGATTTACAGTGATCAAGCTTATGGTTCTCCTCCTTGAGCTTGCCTTTTCTCTAGAAGCCCTAACACCCACTTATAGTTTTTAAGATTTATTACTTTTATTTTACATGTATGAATGTTTTACTTGTGTGTGTATATGTGCCTCACATGCATACGTGGTACACTTGGAAGCGAGAAGAGGGTGACTGTAGTTATGAATGGCTGTGAGCCACCACGTGGATGCCTGGAGTGGATGGAACCTGTATCCTCTGCAAAAACAAGTGCTCTTAAGTGCTGAGCCACCTACCACCCACGTTATACCTATAAAGTTAGTTATCTATTAAAAACAAAATTCACAGGTCCACTTAATAAAGAGTTGTATAGTATGCTACACCCAGAGTGTAGGATAAAACAGACATACAAGGCTGCCTATCTAGAAAAGCTCATTCTCTACATCTACATTTCCTACTGTATAAAATTAAGAGATTAAGCACATAGCTACATTTTATCAATATGAACAACTGTAGTCCTAAGTTGCATGAAATTCTTTCTTTAGCTGGGGTAAATACAATATATTTCCATAAAACTGAGATGTTCAACCTTTAATGAAAAGGTTCAAGTGCAAGAAAGTCTATAACCAGCCCTGAATTGTTTTTTACATAAAGACAATTCAAGTACCTTAAACATGACAGAGAATCTCATTTATTCATGAAGTTCAAAAATATGTGACTGACTATATTGAGAGTAAAATGAAAGCAAAACTTTAAAGGTTTAGGGAATAGGAGACAAGTAGTTTCCCAAATTGATAGTACTCACCCCTTGGAGTCCTTGGAACTGAATTGAAGGTCGAAAAGGAATCAAATTCTGTAAAAAAGGAAACAGATAAACTTTAGTTACTATGGCACAGAACTAAATAGTTAAGCGTCAGGTTTGTGTTTTCTTCTTCTCACAACATGAAAGAAAACCTCATTACATGTGTCTTCAGCGTGTAGTCACAGGAAGAAGTGTTGATGAGCTGCTCACATTTCTATGGTTAATACATCCAAAACCTAGACTTCGGCAATATAGCAATCGTGACTACAAATTGATTGTCATGATTTGCAAGAAAAAAAATACACGAATTCAATCTATCATAAAAAAGTCCTAGTTTCCTATTTTTAATAGGAGTGGGAAAAGGGAAAGGATAACGAGGAACTTTGAAAAAAAATCTCAACAGCATGGCAGAAATATAAAAATTTAAATACCCAGGAGTCAACTGAAGTTCTCCAGCCCCCTCTCCACTTTGCCAGAAACTAGTTTTTACTTAAGAGTCAAAAAGGCTGCCAATTCACTCACAGGACCCTTACTAGGAGGGGCTAATTTCTTGATAACTGCTTTAGTTTTTGCTTTTTTGTTTTGTTTTTGACTAGTATTTCATGAAACAGTTTGTCAAGTACCTTTTATCCCCTTATATTCAAGCCCAATGAACACAAATGAAAATGATGGTGTCTGTCTCATTCTGCCTGAGAGAGAGGCCTCTATGTGCTCCCTTCAGCACAGCACCCACACTTCTACCTTCCTAACCTTGTGCAGATCTGAGCTTATCAGGGCTCTAACAGAGTAAAGAGGGAAGAAAGAGGGGTTTTTGTAATGATAGGAGTATCAGAATATACAATAAAGTGGCATTACTATTTGTAGAAATGGGTAATGTCCCAAGGAAACATTACACCAGACAATGGTATTTCAGGTCTACCCCATATTTAACTCAGACCTCGGGAAAGAATCATAATGCTTCCATGTGACAAATTCACTTCTTGATGTAGAAAAAGGGTCTTAAAAAAAAGATTAAAAGCAATTGTTATTTTGGGGGGAGTCAATGGTGACTCATTCTAGTTCATAGGCTCTCATGAAGACAGAAAAATATGGATTACTTTTCTTTCATGGGTGAATCTCCCCCCAAACTATCTTCCATGGCTAACCTTACTCTTCCTGAGGCAGATAAACCACACACACAGAGCCTGTGGAGCCTCTCTTCTTGTGGGATTACGGTGGCCCTCCACAGTATGGCCCAGGTTCTCCGCATTTCTGTCACTCCTTCCTCCTGGACTCCTCTAATTACATACACCACTGAATCAGAGCTGCCTGCCCTGGACTCCAACTCACATGCAGCAGCTCATCAACTGTTCTGCGCCCACTTAAACATAAACTTTCCAAATTGCTGACTTGCTTCTCCACTGCACACTCCCTCTTCCTTGTGCTAAGAAATACCAGCCCTTCTTTCGAAAGCCAGAACCTGCCCCTTCCTTATTCTAGATCAGCCCCACCCTTCAGGCCTGCTATTCTTGTATGAGGACAACCAGATCTCTTCTCCATTCCCCAGCTGTCTTCCAAAGATGGCTGCTTATTACTGCCTACAGGACAGTCATTAGGAACCCAGTGGCAGCAAGTGTTCATTGACTGACAAGCACTAACATAACCCTGACCAACCTGGCAACCCTCCTATTTATCTGGCAATGGCTTCTTGGCTCTTAAGGCTCACAACCCCAGAATTAACTTACAATATCTTCTTGCTCTCCCACATCATATTCTGCCAGTCAATTACTTGCAATTAGAATCACAAAATTCCAAATACAGAAGACTTAGAAATCAAAGTTGATGTCCGCTCCTCCATTCCTGGTCCTTATGGTCCATTAATAACTAAGCTGGTAACAGGACCTAGGACTTAGCTCATTAGCTCACCCTACTTTTCTCATACTACCTGTCCTCCACACACATCTGCTGTGAGAGATATGAGACCATGGGGGCCTAACCCTCTATGCCAGCATTCACATTTTGGGAGGGAAAAAACCTGAGAATGATCAAGCACTAAGTTAAGTTTACCAGGAAACAAAGCAAGAATTTCAAAGAAGTAGAGCATGTGACTTAGAACAGATACTAGAAACACCAAAGGGACTATGGGAAAGGTAGATCTTGAGTACCTGATTAGAAAAAAAAATGCTCAAGGGAGAGTTTCTTTAGGAAAAAAGTAACGAACGGGTCGCTCTGTGGGTAGAGGGAAGGCCTGTAGCATAGAACTCTTATGTAACTGAAACAAGACAGAGGGCAGAAACTAGAGTCCAGTCCTGCCTAAGCTCCCCTGCCCTTGATATATCTTTGTTTTTAGTTTCTGTCTGACATGGAAAAGGCAAGACAACTTTAAACTTCAGACTTCAGGGTCACTGCTCAAAAAATGTATCACCTTATCCCAACCCTCCTTGCTTTCACTGATTATATCTAAGCCTGTCTTCAAAGTGCAAACAATTAGAGGCTCATACTTTTCTGAGGAAGAAGGAAAGTTGCTGAAATAAGTTTTTTTTTTTTTTGAACGAAGGCAGCTTTGAAAACAGCTCCAGGATCACTTTAGAATACTCTTAGTGGTGATAAAGGACTCAATTAATATGACTTACATTTGAAAACCAACAGGAGATGGTGAACCCACAGACAATCCCAAGGTGGAATGATAAGGTGTGTTGACAGTCTGAGTATCAGTCACCAGAGAAAAGTGATAGTAAGGTGACCCTAGGGCTAGCAGACATCCACTCCAGTTAGTCTGCCCCAGACTCCCTCAAATTAAGCTTTTAGTCTCCTTTGGAGGTTCATGGCCCATTTCAGTCATTTATCACCTGGCAACCAAACAAAGGCCTTCCTCTCTAAGTATGGCTAGTCATCCTTGTCAGACACCACTCTCAGTATACGACCCATAGCCTGACTAGGTTCTTTCCCATTGACTGCCAAATCAAAGTGAATTTTACAGACATACACATACTTATTAACACGACCACTCCAAACTAGACTTGCTATCTGGAACAGAACTTCTAAGAGTAAATGCTGCTTGGCTGAGTGGTGGTGGCACATGCTTTTAATCTCAGCAGAGTTAGGTGGAACTCTGAAGAATTTGAGGCCAGCCTGGTCTATAAAGGGAGTTCCAGGACAGCTAGAGATACACACAGAGAAACCCTGTCTCAAAAAATCAAAAAGGAAAAAAGAAAAAAGGAGAAAAAAAAAAGAAAAAAGAAGACACAAAAGCTGCCCTAAGCAGATATTTCAAATATGTTAGTTTTTTTGTTCAAGTGGCCTTTATTGTTTGCTTGTTTTTTTTTTTTTTTTTAACCTAGTTACTGTTAAAAGAATGATGTTCAGGGCTGGGGAGATGATGGTTCAGTGGGGTAAAGTGTTTATAGTACACACTGATGACCTGAATTCAGATACCCTACACCCACAAAAAAGTCAGGCACAGTCATGCACGCCTGTAACCCCAGCACTGGGGATGGAGATAGCTGAAACTATGGCCTGACTGGCTACCCTGATTAACTGCAACGTGCATAGATAAAGTAGAAAAGTGACTATCTGATGTCAAATTCTGGTCTTCTTACATGCTGGCATGGGAGACTTGTGTGGGTGTGTGCACACACACATGAAAAGAAGTAATGCTCAAATCATTTAAAATAGAATACAAAGCTAGGTGGTGGTGGTCGTGGTGGTGGTAGTGGTGCAGCCACTGCCTTTAATCCCAGCCCTTGGGAGGCAGAGGCAGGCAGGTCTCTTGAGGTCAGCCTGGTCTACAGAGTGAGTCCCAGGACAGCCAGGGCTATGCAGAGAAACCCTGTCTTGAAAAGAGAAATAAATAAAATATAAAACATAAGTAAATTTTAAAAGATAATTCTAGGTGGTCCATATGATGATTCTAGGACAGTGGTTCTCAACCTTCCTAATGCTTCCACGCTTTAATATAGTTTCCTCATGTTGTCATGACCCCCATCCATAAAGTTATTTTCATTGCTACTTCCTAACTGTAATTTTGCTGTTATGAATTGTAATGTAAATATTTTTGGATAGAGGTGTGCAAGGGGGTTATAACCCACAGGTTGAGAGTCACTGCTCTAGGTTTGAGTATCATTTGGGGGAACGGTGCAAAAACCTGCAATAGTAAAAGGCCTCTGGATGTTCAATGATAAAAATTATTTTCAGTTATGAAAATCAACCTCATACTTCATGAGAACACATGACTGCATTACAGTCTTGGCTCTAAACACATAATAGATATATTTACATGCATTGTGCATGCTGGTGCATGCTGTCAACACAGTGTCAATGGACACCACTTGAAACATCTCAGCTTATATTCAAAACTGCTGTATGCTAGGAACTGTAGTGCTTTTTGTGTATACACTACAGCAAAAAAGTTTTCTGCTCTTATTGAAATGTAAACATTTAGTTACAGAAGACAAAGACTCTTGACTTGGGATTAGGATAGGATTTCTAACAATTTCCAAAATGGCCTTAACATACCTCTATCACTTTGTACTACATGCTCCTAGCACTGACAATTTAAAAATAAAAATACTGACCAACTCTGAAAAACTTGAAGATGTCTACATCCTGCAGTATCAAAATCCTACCAAGACTTTAATTCTTTGTGTAAAAACAAGCATATGAAATCATTCATTAATAAAAATATATGGTTTTGTTTTAATAAATGGTAAAATTATATGTATACAAAAGGACTGTCTTAAAACAAAAAGATAGATTTTGTTATAATTTATCAATGTAAAAAGTTTTTTGGACAAGAAGGGGTCAAGAGTGGAGAAAGTGTAAGAAACCCTGGTGTAGACAACACTAAAATACTCAAAAGTTGGGCAGGTCTTCATGTTTACCATTTCAAGTTAATGCTACAAGATCTATGACCAAAGATATATATGTCCACATACTTCCAAGTACTCAAGAACTTATCAGAGCCATAAAAGAATTCTAGAATTCACTACATAATTGTACTAAGTGACATCAGTTTTTCTGTGTAACCCTAGTTCCCGACATGACCTGCAGGAACAGACAGAAGCAAAAGAATT